TCCGCCGCGCCCGCCCCGATGGCCGTGCCCGTGCCCCAGCAGCCGGCGGCGGCGGCGCAGGCGGCGGGGCAGGCGGCGGGGCAGCCCGGCGAGCTGGGGCACAAGCGCCCCGGCTCCGTCTCCTCCTCCTCTTCCTCCTCGGGTGGCGGCGGCGGCGCGGCGGGGGAGCACGACGGTGGCGCCAAGGAGAAGCGGGGCTCTGCCGAGAGCCTGCCGGGGGCGGCGGCGGCAGAGCTGGCCGCGGAGGGCAAGGGCCGGCCGGGCACCGAGCAGGAGTGGCTTGCCAAGCCCAAGACAGTGCGGGACACGCTGCTGGCCCTGCACCAGCACGGGAGCCACGCGGTGCCCCCCTTCGACAGCAAATTCAAGAAAGAGCCGGGCATGGCGGGCGGCAGGCTGCTGGGCTACGAGACCAACGGCTCCGTGGCCAAGCCAGGTGAGGAACCGGGGACCGGGGGGCGGCGGGCAGAGCAGGGGAGGGGACGACAGGGCGGCTTGGGGGGCTCTCCCGGGATGCGGAGTGGGCGATGCCGGGCGGGTTTGGGCGTGCGGGGCGGCGGCCCGGCGGCTTGGGTAGCCGGGTGCTCGAGGGTTGGCCGCAGCCACCCGTTTCCGCGGTTGCTCGGCGATGCATTGTGACTGCACTGCCTTCTTACCCTCCTTTCCCCCACCTCTGCCTCTACAGGGGCCCGGGCCGCCCGGAAGAGGAAGCCTTCCCCCGAGCCGGAGGGCGAGGCTGGACCCCCGAAGATCAACGGGGAGGTGCAGCCCTGGCTGCCCACCTCGTCGGAAGGGATGAAGCTGCCGCTGACTGCCACCCCCTTCATGTCGCCCCCGCCGCCCACCGCCTCGCCCCACTCCAACCGGACCACGCCGCCCGAGGCGGCACAGAACGGCCAGTCCCCCATGGCCGCCCTCATTCTGGTGGCGGACAATGCCGGGGGCAACCACGCCTCCAAAGACGCCAACCAGGTCCACTCCACCACGCGGAGGAACAGCAGCAGCCCCCCTTCGCCCTCCGCCATGAACCAAAGAAGGCTGGGCCCCGGCAGGGAGGTGCCGGGCCAGGGGGCCAACGCGGCGGCGGCGGGCGGGCTGGAGCCCGTCCACCCTGCCAGCCTGCCGGACTCGTCCCTCGCCGCCAGCGTCCCGTTGTGTTGTACCCTCTGCCACGAGCGCCTGGAAGACACCCACTTCGTGCAGTGCCCCTCCGTCCCCTCCCACAAGTTCTGCTTCCCCTGCTCCCGGCAGAGCATCAAGCAGCAGGGAGCCAGCGGCGAGGTGTATTGCCCCAGCGGGGAGAAGTGTCCCCTGGTCGGCTCCAACGTCCCGTGGGCCTTCATGCAAGGGGAGATCGCCACCATCCTGGCCGGAGATGTGAAAGTGAAAAAGGAAAGGGACTCGTGACTCGCCTGCGCTCACCGCCCCACGTCACCTTGAACTCGAACTGCTCGAATTCTGTATATATCTATAAATATATATATATAAATATATATATATCTCCAAGACAAGGGAAATGTAGACTTCATAAACATGGCTGTATAATTTTGATTTTTTTGAATACATTGTGTTTCTATATTTTTTGAAGACAAAAGGTATGTACTTATTATAAAGGCATTTCTTCTAATTCTTCAATTTTTTTCTGTTTTGTTTTTTCTTTTTTTCCCTTTTGTTATAGCAACTATTTGTTGTGCTTCCYTGGTGACAGTTACTGTTCAATGTAGGCTGTGACTTGCGCTGCTTTTTTTAGAGAGCACTTGGCAAACCAGAAATGCTTCTAGCTGTATTTGTATGCACTTGTTTCTTCTATTTTTTCTTTTCTTTATTTTTTTTTAAATGCCAAATACACTTTCTGACATTGTAAAGATTGCCTTACTGTCTGTGATTTCTTATTCCTGGCCTCTTGTCCTGTAGAGCTGGTCGCATGCAGGCTTGGTCTGAAGCGGTTGGGGACAAGAGTGGCTAGCCAAGGCAGGCATGTCCTTCGCCATCCCGCTGGCCAGGCGAGCTTAGGGAGCAGGARGCCTTTCTCCCAGAAGCGCGTGGCTTGGGTTGCGATGGAAGATCCTCCAGATCCAGTCCCAGATTGCTCACTGTTTCTCAAGGGAAGTTGCCACCAAAGTAGGATGTGGGGAGGTGTCCAAGAGGCGCTGTTGAGTTAGGGATTTCTGGGTTTGTTTGTTTTTGGTTTGGTGTTTTGGTTTTTTTTTAATAAGGCAAAGTTGACCGCAGTTCTTGTAATCAGTTGTAAGATTACAAAACTGCATTTATTCACCAATTGTTTACCATAATGTGGAATATTGATAAAGAACTTAGTTACGCGATTGGCAAAGCTGCCAATATAGAACTGCCATTTCTGAAGGTCTTCAGTGTCACTTCTGGGGCTTTTGTGTCTTTGGACAAAGCTGGGGATGTGGGGAAGAGACTTTTTTTTAAAATTTCATTTTAATTTTCAGATAGTGCATATGGATTTTGATTTTGCTTATCAGTCACCTCTAGTGCTGTTGCTATTGTTACTATAGCTGACCCGGTATTTCCAAGTAGTGGCAGGTACGGTGTGGTACAGTGACAGCAGTGACTGAGGCTCTGCCAAATTGCCCGCGGGCATATCAGTGACAGCCCAAATGTGGGTGGAGGAAACCTGTAATTTCCTTGTTATGTGTGCTTGAAACAAACCTACTGCTATTCTTTGAAAATGAAAATATAAACTGGTTGAAATGAAAGCAATTAGGGCTGCACATAATGGCCCTGGCCCTGCCTTTTAAGCTACTTTGGAGAACTCTTTTGTAAAGCCACTTCTTTTGATCACGCTTCTGCATCACCAGGCAGACTTCTAAAATCAATAAATCATTGGTTACTAGAAATAGTTCAAGTCTTATAGTGATGTTTTTGTGCTGTTTATAGTTCATTGGCAACACTGCAGCTGTACGAGCCCTTCTGTCGAGGTGTTTATAACTCGGTTATATGCGGTTGTTTCTGAGCAAAAGGGTGACGAGGTCGTCCCTTCCCAGGGACCAGCTAATAAACACTTTCATTATCGGAAGAGGAGGAGGGAAAATCTGTTCAGCCAACTATAAAATCAAAGAATTTTGGGTGCTTTTTAGTCAACTGTTCTTATTGTGATAATGTTCAAACTGCAATTTAATGCAGAGTAGATTTTTTTTTGAAGACTACTTTTTTTAAAAAGAAAGAAATGGTCATTATTAGTATTTGAAGATCAGAACTGCACATGCACAGTAATTTTCTATGAAGTGTTTAATGAGCACACCCACTACATTGTGTTCCATACTACAGGTCAATGTAATATTAGATAAGACTTGCATGATAAACAAATTCATTGAGTCGATATTACGTTTTAAAACTTATAGTCAAGATTGGTGTCTTATGTAAACACATTTAGCCAATTTGAAGAAAACGCACATTATATATATACCTATATATATATACCTATATATAAAAAATGCCAACTGTAAAGGATTCTTTGGAACCACTATGATCTGTGTAAATGTGTATTTAGGCACTTTATTAAAAAAAATGGAATTTGAGCTGATAGATGGTAGCAAGTTCTTCAAAGTTGCTTGGCATAATACCTTGACATGGGATGAAGTTCATGTTTTCGATTAAGGTGGTATCCCTATGCTTAAAAAAGAAGCAAAATTGAATTCTAAAGCCTGCCTAAAAAAGCCCCCCTTTTGTGTCATCAGGTGTCCCAGCTCTGAGCTTGCAGAGGGTGAGACCTGCTCCTGACAAAGTATACCCTTGTTTTGGGGCCAAGGGACACTGGTGTGACAGGCGGAGAGGCCCAAAAGGAAGCACACCTTCCTCCTCCTCCTGCCAGCCTCCTGCTTCTGCAGCTTTGGGACTCCTGGACAGGATAGAAACTCCCCAGCCGCTGATGCTAGGCAGTGGCCCAGAAACAACATAGATGGAAAAGAAATGGCACATGGTGGCTATGCTCACTCAGCTGACTTTCAACCCCCAGCCAAGTCTAATCTCCATCATAAAACTTCAGAACTGCAAAAGAAAAAAAAAAAAAAAAAAAA